GGGGGGGGGGGCACCGAAGAGAAATGTTTTTCTTCATGAAAGGTTTGCTGATCAAACCATTAAAAAGTCAAAATATTTTTCACCCAACCTCAAATATCAATTAGAAAAACAAATACCCACCCCTGGCCAAAACCTTTACAAAAGGATACCATTCAGTTGTCACACATGTCCTTCGGTGACACGAGTTTGATAACTGCTCGTGCAATTTTCTGCAGTCTAAAGTTTCATGTTGTCTGCACATGTACTTTCTTTGGAGACATCATTTGCCTCCTGACAAATCGGAAAATGATCAAGAGAGCGACTCTGACTAATTTACATATTGTATTGACATCTTTTAGTCAATATTTGAGTGACTAATGCTTTGGAAATGACAATACGTTTTTATTACCCAACCCTTGAGTAGTTTTGTTTTTCATTTACCCAACCTTTTACTCACTCAAAATTTAGTTCACCCAACCCCTTTCTCTTCGGTGTCACCCCCCCCCCCCATAAATAATGACCGGTCCCTGAAACGCACTTTTACAATGACATCGCACCTGTAATGATGGACTTTGGCACAGGACGCAAAAGTTAGTCCAGTTATATTCATACATCTGGCAAGATGGCGTGCCGTTCAATTAAAATTATAATATAGCATTTGTAAATTATAAACGCTGACTGGCTAAGAGCCGTGTTGATATAACTCTATGTCAACACGGAGAGTTTCCTTCTATATATTTCATCGTGCTATATTTAACAAATATAAAACATTTTCCGTGTTGATATACAGTTATATCAACACGAGTGGAAATTGGGAAAACGAGAAATTGTGTGGAAACACGACGCCCGAAGGGCGGAGTGTTTTCACACAATTTCGAGTTTTCCCAACTTCCACGAGTGTTGATATAACTATATATCAATTCGGAAAAAAATGTTTTATATTTGTTTTATAATATAGCAATGTCAAAAGCCCGAAGAATAAGAACAATTTCCGTGTTACAAGCGGCGGAAAATTTCCCGTGTTGACATGGAGTTATATCAACACGGCTCTTAGCCAATCAGCGTTCAGAATTTACAAATGCTATATTATAATATAATATATAAAACATTTTTTCCGTACTGTTATACAGTTATATCAACACTCGTGGAAATTGGGAAAACTCAAAATTGTGTTAAAACAATCGTGTTTCCACACAATTTCTCGTTTTCCCAATTTCCACTCGTGTTGATATAACTGCATATCAACACGGAAAATGTTTTATATTTGTTAACTATCACCAACCTCCAAATATAAGCACTGTACTAAAATTCGTTCGTAACCATTTTCTGATGTGTTTAAACCATAGGTATCTTATATACACTAGATAGTGCATCTAATTATTCTGCAATTCAAAAACTGAAGCCGTGATTGCAGTCTCAGGATATTCCCATGAAATGAGAAGATTCGTATGTTTTCTATTTCTTAAACAGGGAACTTAAACATTAAGTTAACCCTATTCCAAATACGTTTTTAAACTATTCAAATGATGAAAGTTATTGTTGTTTTTAAACGTTTATTAGCAAGTGGGAACGACCAACATGGCCGCCATCTATTCAAATGGGAGTAACCGCTGGAACATTCTTGGCTTCAATTTTACTAAAAGAGATGCGCTATCTAGTGTATATAAGATACCTAGGGTTTAAACACGGAAGGGCTAATATTTACAGGGCTCTTATATTCGGAGGTTCGCCACATTTCCTGTAAATCATATTATTATCAACTATCTTGGGCTATTTATAAGAGAGTTTGTCAAAATCCGTAACCGTACGAACTTGTTGTGCACACAGCGAATAACGCAATTGAAAATTGTTTTCAAATTTTGAAAATCACATACCTAAGTTGTACATATATATGGTACCTTGCATTGTCTGGAAGCAAATTGATTTCCCGCACCATTATAATTGAAGAAATGTGTATTGGAATAGTCCGCTAGCCATTGTAACCAGAGTTATAACGGTCCTGAAACATTTAAAATATACTCGAGCAATAAGAGATAATCCTTACTTAGTAAGAGCAGTTTCGAACTGATAGAGCTATCCAGTATAAATAAAGTTAGTTTAGTTTAGGTTTCCTCTTGTATTAACACTGGATCAATAAGAGATGATCCTTACTGGACCTCTAGGGAGAACAGTTTAGAACTGATAGAGCTATCCAGTATAAATAAAGTTAGTTCAGTTTAGGTTTTATTCTGTAGTAACACTGGATCAATAAGAGATGTTCCTTACTGGAACTCTAGGGAGAACAGTTCAGAACTGATAGAGCTATCCAGTGTAAATAAAGTCAATTTAGTTTAAGTTTCCTCCTGTAGTAACACTGAATCTATAAGAATCTTACTGTTTAAAATCTGAATCTAACTGTTTAGAACTGATAGAGCTATTCAGTACAAAGTTAGTTTGTCATACCTGTATTGTCGATAAAACGCCTGACGCTACATTGCTAATCTGTAATAAAACAAGAAAAGATAGTTTAACCAAAAGATGTCACACATTTCCCCAACTAAGCAGTAAAAAATACCTTTTCAGTCATTCGACCGATTCCTTCTCGCAGTTGATACATTTCTGGTGATTGCAATGACGCTCCTCGTTGCCCTAGAAATATGAAGACATGTCACTCATTAGTGTTACGGTCAAACGAGGAGGGGAGTTGATGAGGTGATTGCAACTCTCGCTCGCGTTTGACTCCCATCTATGAGCTGGTTCAAATTTTGATGAGAGTTGATGAAAATTTTTGCTACGCACGTGATAATTTTCAGTCAACTCTCATGCAACTCTTGTTCTGGTTTGACCGGGACATGAGAGTTGAGAAAACTCTCATGCAAACTCTCGCTTCTCAACTCTCATGCAACTCTTGTTCTCGTTTGACCGGGGCATGAGAGTTGAGAAGACTCTCATGTAAACACTCGCTTCTCAACTCTCATCATCAACTCTGATCCATAGCGTTTCAGATCATAATAAGATATAAAATCCTGTTGCGAATTTCACTAAACCCTACTGTGCCAGATCTTCAAATATGGGTCGGTCGCGGATATTGTCCAACCCAGAGGACACCACCGGACATTCTGTCAATTTATCGTATATCCGACTCAAGTGAATTGGTGTCGGACCTAAATGTAACTTTACCCAACGTAAATCAGAATGTACCCTAGTCCAGGACTAGAAGCTCGTGTGTTAAATAGAAAATCAGGGCAATATATAAAAAGTGAACTGGAAATGTGAGATCAAGTGCGGCTCTTTCACCGTGGGGATCGGAAATTCATTGCCAAGATTCAAATGACTTTTACAAAACTGTGCTGATATTAATTTGTGCATTTTTGCATTCATACTTATTTCCAAGCCAAACTGAACTCAAAGACATCCATGGTACATCACAATACATATGTGCAACCCAAACTCAAAGTCTATATATTGTCTCTTTTTTCTTGTCTTTACTAACGTTCTATGTACGTATTTTCTTTCTTATCTTTTTTCATATACTTGTATATAAACTTGTGTGAGTCCCCTTGATAAGCCTTTTGTGTTTTTGGGATAAACACTTTAATTATTTAATAAACTATGTTTATATAAAAAAAAACCTCAAAGTCATCGAACATTTTGTCAGACGGTCAATCTGTACCATAGATATCTTATATACACTAGATAGTGCATCTAATTATTCTGCAATTCAAAAATTGAAGCCGTGATTGCAGACTCAGGATATTCCCATAAAATGAGAAGATTCGTATGTTTTCTACTTCTTAAACAGGGAACTTAAACATTAAGTTAATCCTATTATAAATACATTTTTAAACTATTCAAATGATGAAAGTTATATATTGATGTTTTTTGAGCGTTTATTAGCGAGTGGGGAACTACCAACATGGCCGTCATCTATTCAAATGGAGGTAACCGCTGGAATATTCTTGGCTTCAATTTTACCAAAAGAGATGCGCTATCTAGTGTATATAAGATATCTATGATCTGTACTTGCTGTACAATGCAGAGTGTGAAACCTTTGTTACCTGAGCGCTGCTCCTCGCCAAATAGATCTGCACTCGATATAGCAGAAGCCCCAGACATTCTGTCCAGCTTCACTTTAGTATCATAGGACGCCTGCAAACATATGTAATCACGTGATAT